ATTCGCCGTCTTTATTTATCCTGTTTACCATCATCAGTAAAGGGACATCCAGGGGCGGACTGACAACTCATGGGGCCCCTGGGCAATAGGGTCCCCCGTGTCCTTGCCCAAACTCAAAAAAGCCTATGAAAAAGGTACCGGGGTATCTCATGGGGCCCCCTACTGATCCCGGGCCCTCTGGGTTATCACCAGAACAGGAATAGAGGGCAAATCTTCCCATGGGGACACTAGTTCTGATAATAAGCTGGGAGTTCCTAACTTTGCAGGGAGTTTCTCTCACTTTCTGTTTTGGCTATGTGACAGGAAGCAAATGGAACCCCCCACTCCCCCCTTTGGGAGATAGCCCTCCCTTACTCTATCCAAAAGAAAGAATAAATATATTCTGAAAAATGTTGAATCTTCTTCTAAAATGGAAGGGCTGCCTAAGCATAAATGGATTCATCTACTAAACCGGACTCACAGGACAACTTACTAAGTGTTACTAAATCTACAACAGTACAATCAGTCTGTATATGGAGTACAGCATGCTTGTTATACTCACTGTGGAACCTAAGGGGTTAAAGTGATTCTAAAGGTTCTGTTTTTTTTTTATAAACATGTCTATACTTACCTGCTCTGTGTAGTGGTTTTGCACAGAGCAGTCTGGATCCTCCTCTTCTTGGGTCCCCCACAGGCTTTCCTGGTCCCTCCGACCTGTCAGGTGCCCCCACTGCAAGCAGCTTGCTATGGGGGCACCTGCTGCTCCGTGTGTCCAGTCACACACGAAGCCGTGGCTTGGCTATGCCCCATCTCTCTCTCCTCATTGGCTGACTGCCTGTGATTGACAGCAGCGGGAGCCAATGGCTCCCGCTTGCTGTCTCAGCCAATAATGTGGAAAGACCCGGGACAGCTGAGGCTCTCATTGGCATCGCTGGATCGTGATGAGGCTCAAGTACGTATTGAGGGGGCTGGGGGAGCTGCTGCACACAGAAGGGTTTTTACCGTCATACATAGAATGCATGAAGGTAAAAACCCTTCAGCCTTTACAACCACTTTAATCCTCTGCATTGTGTAAAAACGCTGTTTGATCCTGACTTCTCTGATCCTCCCCTTCTTCCAGTGTCTCCTTCTTATCTCCTGATAAGACATATCATGTGGAGTCACTCTGCACATGCTCAGTTTGGTGTGTATTGCTAGAGAGTTTTTTTTTCTTGGGAGAGTGCGTGTGATCAGCACAGGGCCAATCAGCACTGTCCAGACAGAGGTCAGGGGTTCTGCATCCTCCTAGAGCAGAATGAAAACACCTCCTACAAGCTTTAACGTGTGCTAGGCTGGACACTGATAGAAGTTACAAGACTGCTCTAACTGCTGATGAGAAAAGGTATTTAGCAGTTTATATTTACTAAAATAATTGCATTTTTACGTTCTGTGTACTGTGTGAGATCAGATATAGTGAATGCAGGGTCTGGGGAGACCAGATATAGTCTATGGTGCCAGGCAGTGAGCACAGGGCCACTAGAGGATATCAGGCCCTCAGGACACCTTCATGAAGTCTGTTTCTGATTGTTTGGTCAGAGACATTCACACCAGTGGCCTGCTGGAGGTCATTTTGTAGGGCTCTGGCAGTGCTCATCCTGTTCCTCCTTGTACAAAGGAGCAGATACCAGTCCTGGTGATGGGTTAAGGACCTTCTACGGCCCTGTCCAGCTCTACTAGAGTAACTGCCTGTCTCTTGGAATCTCCTCCATGCTCTTGAGACTGTGCTGGGAGACACAGCAAACCTTCTGGCAATGGCACGTATTGATGTGCCTTCCTGGAGGAGTTGGACTGCCTGTGCAACCTCTGTAGGGTCCAGGTATGGCCTCATGCTACCAGTAGTGACACTGACCCTAGCCAAATGCAAAACCGTCAGAAAAGATGAGAAGGGAAAATATATCAGTCGAATGAATCCACAAGCTGTCACAGCCGGGTGCCCACAATAAAGATGCCGGGGAGAGAAGACGGCGGGTGAAACCAGTGGTGGTGAGGACCAGGGGCGGACTGACCATTTGGAAACTCGGGCACTGCCCGAGGGCCCGGGGTCAGTAGGGGGCCCCGTGAGATGCCCCTGGTACCTTTTTCATAGGCTTTTTTGAGTTTGGGCAAGGACACAGGGGCCCCATGATCCCCTATTGCCCGGGGGCCCCATGAGTTTGTCAGTCCGCCCCTGGTGAGGACACCGCTGGATCATAGGACAGGTAAGTGGCTATATTTTAAAAGTTTTTTGTAGCTGCTGACTATTATTTTTTTTTTTTAAATCAACTGGACCTCGGCTTTAAACAGTCAGCTAGCATTTTCTGAAGACGGCCAACAGCAGAAGCATTTAATACACGGCACTCCCCTGACATTTAAAGCGGAGTTCCAGTTGATTTAAAAAAAAAAATAAAAGTCAGCAGCTACAAAAACTGTAGCTGCTGACTTTTAAAATACAGACACTCACCTGTCCCTCGGTCCCGCGGTGTCCTCACCACAGCTGGCTTTTCTGGCCATCTTCTCTCCCCGGCGCCGGCATCTTCAGTGTGGGCACCCGGATGTGACAGCTTCATAGCAGGGTGCCCACTGCACATGTGCGAGAAGCGGCACTTTGTGAATGGCCCCGTAGTCTTCTGGGACCTGTCACGTGTCCCAGAGGACTATGGGGAGGGAGGAGGGAGGCTTTAGGCGACCACACCGAAAGTGGGAGCGGGTTCCTTTCAAATTCGGGTACCAAAAGGTGCCAATCCTTACCAGGGAGTGGGGACATTGCATCAAAGCTGAACTTCCCCTTGTGGGTGGAGCTTCTCTTTAAAGTGGATTAATTTGGCTGGTTGACTGGCTAAGTTTTAAAATAAAGATTTGTTTGCTTTTACTGTTCAGTATGTACAAGGATGGAATAGATTAACACCATGAAATAGACGGCGCATTTCTCAGTCATTTATGGCCGATTACAGAGTGACCATTCAGCTGGAGAAATCTGCAATATGCTGTGCTTGTAAAGCCCAACCTCAGCTTTTGTGTCAATGTGTGTCGCCCTCTAGAGGAAATTTACATTACTACTATGAAGACAGGAAATAGGGGGAAATCTGTCCAATGGGGATTCAGGCTATAATACAAATCTGAGAGGATCTATACCTTTCCTATTCTGTCCAAACAAATGTCTTGGCTGGAGTTGGGATTTATGTGTAGAGTAGAGGTGTTAGGGGAGATTAAGGAATGCTGCCCTTTGCTTCCCTTTATCCGGCTCTGGGGGCACACTATTCCTCTCACTGATACAAGACACTATTCCTGCCACTGACACCAATGATGGGGCACTTTTCCTCCCACTGACACTAACAATGGAGCACTATTCCTCCCACTGACGCCAACAATGGGGCACTATTCCTCCCACTGACACCAATGATGGGGCACTATTCCTCCCACTGATGCCAACAATGGGGCACTATTCCTCCCACTAATGCCAACAATGGGGGCACTATTCCTCCCACTGACACCAACAATGGGGCACTATTCCTCCCACTGATACCAATGATGGGGCATTATTCCTCCCACTGATACCAATGATGGGGCATTATTCCTCCCACTGACACCAACAATGGGGCACTATTCCTCCCACTGATACCAATGATGGGGCATTATTCCTCCCACTGACACCAACAATGGGGCACTATTCCTCCCACTGACGCCAACAATGGGGCATTATTCCTCCCACTGACACCAACAATGGGCACTATTCCTCCCACTGACGCTACAATGGGGCATTATTCCTCCCACTGACACCAACGATGGGGCACTATTCTTCCCACTGACACCAACAATGGGGCACTATTCCTTCCACTGACGCCAACAATGGGGCACTATTCCTCCCACTGACGCCAACAATGGGCACTATTTCTCCCACTGACACCAACAATGGGGCACTATTTCTCCCACTGACACCAACAATGGGGCACTATTCCTCCCACTGATGCCAACAATGGGCACTATTCCTCCCACAAATACAAAACACTATTTCTCCCACTGCCACCAACAATAGAGCATTATTCCTCCCACTGACACCAACAATGGGGCACTATTCCTCCCACTGACACCAACAACGGGGCACTATTCCTCCCACTGACACCAACAATGGGGCACTATTCCTCCCACTGACACCAACAATGGGGCACTATTCCTCCCACTGACAACAACAATGGGCCACTATTCCTTCCACTGACACCAACAATGGGGCACTATTCCTCCCACTGACACCAACAATGGGGGGCACTATTTCTCCCACTGACAACAACAATGGGCCACTATTCCTTCCACTGACACCAACAATGGGGCACTATTTCTCCCACTGACACCAACAATGGGGCACTATTCCTCCCACTGACACCAACAATGGGGCACTATTCCTCCCACTGACACCAACAATGGAGCACTATTCCTCCCACTGATACCAATGATTGGGCACTATTCTTCCCACTGACACCAACAATGGGGCACTATTCCTCCCACTGACACCAACAATAGGGCACTATTCTTCCCACTGACACCAACAATGGGGCACTATTTCTCCCACTGACACCAACAATGGGACACTATTTCTCCCACTGACACCAATGATGGGGAATTGTTTACGCCCACTGGCCGCAGTCCAGCCCCTCTAAAGTCTGAAGGAAACCAGCCATTTGTTTAGGACATTTGTAGGTCCCTCCCTTAAATGAATTTATTGCCAATGTTTGTATTTCAAGTTTTGGATGGTATGGGGAAGGATCAGAGCTTTGAATATCAGCAAAACCTGACAGGGTTTCCTGATTCCCCCGTACTTCCTGTCTGGTAAAAAAGGGTGTCACCGGGACAGGAAGTGAGGGGAAGTTTGTCTAACGGAGCCATGGATGGCTGTACAACCTTACAGGATTTCCAGTCTCTCCCGGCTACAACTAGAAAAGAACACCGTTTTGGCTGTAGATATCCTCTAGTAAACAAGACCCGAGCTGCAGGCTCTGTGTACGTACCTTTTAACTTTTGCTCAGGTGACTGCCGAGTTTTTCTTTCCTTATTAAGCTGGCTGCATAAGGGATCTGTGGGGAGGAAGACAAACACTTACTATGATTGATCCTAATAGCAATGCTCAACATCACTGACATCAGTAGTCTGGGCAATAGAAAATCCAAGAACTCATTAAAGTGTTACTAAACCCACAGCAGTACAATCAGTCTGTAGATGCAGTAAAGCATGCTTGTTATACTCACTGTGGAACCTAAGGGGTTAATCCTCTGCATTTTGTAAAATGGATGTTTGATCCTGTCTTCTCTGATCCTCCCCTTCTTCCAGTGTCCCCCCTCTTATCTCCTGATCATGTGAAGTCAGTCTGCACATGCTCAGTTTGATGTGTATTGCTAGAGAGGTTTTTTTTTTTTCTTGGGAGAGTGCATGTGATCAGCACAGGGCCAATCAGCACTGTTCGGACAGAGGTCAGGGGTTCTGCATCCTCCTAGAGCAGAAAGAAAAGTCCTCCTACAAGCTTTAACGAGTGCTCTGCTGGACACTGATAGAAGTCACAAGACTGCTATATACTGCTGATGAGAAAAGGTATTTAGCAGTTTATATTTACTAAAATAATTGCATTTCCATGTTCTGTGGGAGACCAGATGTAGTGAATGCAGGGTCCGGGGAGAGCGGATATAGTGAATGCAGGGTCCGGGGAGAGCGGATATAGTGAATGCAGGGTCCGGGGAGACCAGATATAGTGAATGCAGGGTCCGGGGAGAGCGGATATAGAAGGATGCAGGGTCCGGGGAGAGCGGATATAGGGAATGCAGGGTCCGGGAGAGCGGATATAGTGAATGCAGGGTCCGGGAGAGCGGATATAGTGAATGGGAAGAGCGGATAGCGGATATAGTGAATGCAGGGTCCGGGGAGAGCGGATATAGGGAATGCAGGGTCCGGGAGGATATAGTGAATGCAGGGTCCGGGGGAGAGCGGATATAGTGAATGCAGGGTCCAGGGAGACCAGATATAGTGAATGCAGGGTCCAGGGAGACCAGATATAGTGAATGCAGGGTCCGGGGAGACCAGATATAGTGAATGCAGGGTCCAGGGAGACCGGATACAGTGAATGCAGGGTCCGGGGAGAGCCAGTGGCAGGTCCGGGGAGAGCAGATATAGTGAATGCAGAGTCCGGGGAGACCAGATATAGTGAATGCAGGGTCCAGGGAGACCAGATATAGTGAATGCAGGGTCCTGGGAGACCAGATATAGTGAATGCAGGGTCCTGGGAGACCAGATATAGTGAATGCAGGGTCCGGGGAGACCGGATATAGTAAATGCAGGGTCCGGGGAGACCAGATATAGTGAATGCAGGGTCCAGGGAGAGCAGATAGAGTAAATGCAGGGTCCGGGGAGAGCGGATATAGTGAATGCAGGGTCCAGGGAGATCGGATACAGTGAATGCAGGGTCCGGGGAGAGCAGATATAGTGAATACAGGGTCCGGGGAGAGCAGATATAGTGAATGCAGGGTCCAGGGAGATAGATATAGTGAATGCAGGGTCCGGGGAGAGACCAGATATAGTGAATGCAGGGTCCGGGGAGACCGGATATAGTAAATGCAGGGTCCGGGGAGACCAGATATAGTGAATGCAGGTCCAGGGGGGAGACCAGATATAGTGAATGCAGGGTCCCAGGGAGACCAGATATAGTGAATGCAGGGTCCTGGGAGACCAGATATAGTGAATGCAGGGTCCGGGGAGACCGGATATAGTAAATGCAGGGTCCGGGGAGACCAGATATAGTGAATGCAGGGTCCAGGGAGAGCAGATATAGTAATGCAGGGTCCGGGGAGAGGATATAGTGAATGCAGGGTCCAGGGAGAATCGGATACAGTGAATGCAGAGTCCGGGGAGACCAGATATAGTGAATGCAGGGTCCGGGGAGACCAGATATAATGAATGCAGGGTCCGGGGAGATCAGATATAGTGAATGCAGGGTCTGGGGAGACCAGATATAGTGAATGCAGGGTCCGGGGAGATCAGATATAGTGAATGCAGGGTCCTGGGGAGACCAGATATAGTGAATGCAGGGTCCGGGGAGACGGGGGATATAGTGAATGCAGGGTCCGGGGAGAGCGGATAAAGTGAATGCAGGGTCCGGGGAGAGCGATATAGTGAATGCAGGGTCCGGGGGAGACCAGATATAGTGAATGCAGGGTCCGGGGAGATCAGATATAGTGAATGCAGGGTCTGGGGGAGACCAGATATAGTGAATGCAGGGTCCGGGGAGACCGGATATAGTGAATGCAGGGTCAGGGTCCGGGGAGAGCGGATAAAGTGAATGCAGGGTCCGGGGGGAGAGAGAGCGGATATAGTGAATGCAGGGTCCGGGGAGACCGGATATAGTGAATGCAGGGTCCGGGGAGACCAGATATAGTGAATGCAGGGTCCGGGGAGACCGGATATAGTTAATGCAGGGTCCAGGGAGACCAGATATAGTGAATGCAGGGTCCGGGGAGATCAGATATAGTGAATGCAGGGTCCAGGGAGACCGAATATAGTGAATGCAGGGTCCGGGGAGAGCAGATATAGTGAATGCAGGGTCCGGGGAGACCAGATATAGTGAATGCAAGGTCCAGGGAGACCAGATATAGTGAATTCAGGGTCCAGGGAGACCGGATATAGTGAATGCAGGGTCCAGGGAGAGCGGATATAGTGAATTTGAGGGTCCGGGGAGACCGCATATAGTGAATGCAGGGTCCGGGGGAGAGCGGATATAGTGAATGCAGGGTCCGGGGAGACCGGATATAGTGAATGCAGGGTCCGGGGAGAGCGGATATAGTGAATGCTGGGTCCGGGGGAGACCGGATATAGTGAATGCAGGGTCCAGGGAGAGTGGATATAGTGAATGCAGGGTCCGGGAGACCCGGATATAGTGAATGCAGGGTCCGGGGAGACCAGATATAGTGAATGCGGGGTCCGGGGAGACCAGATATAGTGAATGCAGGGTCCGGGGAGACCAGATATAGTGAATGCAGGGTCCGGGGAGAGCGGATATAGTGAATGCAGGTTCCAGGGAGACCAGATATAGTGAATGCAGGGTCCGGGGAGACCAGATATAGTGAATGCAGGGTCCGGGGAGAGCAGATATAGTGAATGCAGGGTCCGGGAAGACCGGATATAGTGAGTGCAGGGTCCAGGGAGACCAGATATAGTGAATGCAGGGTCCGGGGAGACCAGATATAGTGAATGCAGGGTCCGGGGAGACCAGATATAGTGAATGCAGGGTCCGGGGAGAGCAGATATAGTGAATGCAGGGTCCGGGGAGAGCAGATATAGTGAATGCAGGGTCCGGGGAGACCAGATATAGTGAATTCAGGGTCCGGGGAGACCGGATATAGTGAATGCAGGGTCCGGGGAGAGCGGATATAGTGAATGCAGGGTCCTGGGAGACCAGATATAGTGAATGCAGGGTCCAGGGAGAGCGGATATAGTGAAATGAGGGTCCGGGGAGATCAGATATAGTGAATGCAGGGTCCGGGGAGAGCGGATATAGTGAATGCAGGGTCCGGGGAGACCGGATATAGTGAATGCAGGGTCCGGGGAGAGTGGATATAGTGAATGCAGGGTCCGGGGAGACCAGATATAGTGAATGCAGGGTCCGGGGAGACCAGATATAGTGAATGCAGGGTCCGGGGAGAGTGGATATAGTGAATGCAGGGTCCACGGAGAGCGGATATAGTGAATGCAGGGTCCGGGGAGACCAAATATAGTGAATGCAGGGTCCGGGGAGAGCGGATATAGTGAATGCAGGGTCCGGGGAGACCAAATATAGTGAATGCAGGGTCCGGGGAGACCAAATATAGTGAATGCAGGGTCCGGGGAGACCAAATATAGTGAATGCAGGGTCCGGGGTTTAGTAACACTTAAAAATCCATCAAAAGAAAAAAATAAAATCATTTGTTTTTTTTCGATTTCTTCAAATCGATCTTGGCAGTGTCACTCAAGCCACTTCTTTGAATACCCAATCGCATGCAGAGAAAAAAAACCTGTTTTCTAGCACATGACTGAGGATTTAGTTTCCCGACTGCCCTATAGCAGAAGTGATGTGATTTTGTATTTCTGAGTAGGGGGTGCGCGCGCCTCTCTGCCAGTGCCACCATTGGTGGCTACAGCTTTTGATCACTGGGTCCCGGCTGGAGATTCCCCGCTGGCACCCAGTGATCATCGAGGAACACTGATGGGACAATACAGATCTCTCCCCTGTCAGCTCCTGCACACTGCTTTGTATGGCTCAGCATAGCAGATCAATACAAAACAGTGTGCTTACACAGTACAAACACACAGCAGACATAGTAAAATAGCACACAGTTAACCCTTTGATTGCCCCAGATGTTAACCCCTTCCTGCCCAGTGCCATTAGTACAGTGTGAGTGCTTTTTATTAGCACTGATCGCTGTATTGGTGTCACTGGGGATATCAGTGACACCAAGTCAGTTCCACTCCAGTGTCAGAATGCAATATAAGTCGCTGATTGCCGCCATTAGTAGTAAAAAAATATCCCAGTATCTCCCGCCATTTGTAATGTTATAACTTTCACGTAAACCAATAAATTTCCATGTATTGGGATTTTTTTTTTTTTTAGCAAAAATGACAAAATTTGATTTTTAAATGTTTTTTACTGGACATGTTTAATAGCAAAATGTACAAAATATTGTTTTGATTTTTTTTTTCAAAATTTTCAGTCTTTTTCTGTTTATAGCGCAAAAAAAATAAAGCACAGACGATTTAATACCACCGAAAGAAAGCTCAATTTGTGGGAAAAAAAGGACATAAATTAAATTTTGGTGCAGCATTGCATGACCGCGCAATTGTCAGTTAAAGTAAGGCAACGCCATATCGCAAAAAATGGCCTGGTCAGGGGGGAAATCCTCTGGAGGGGGAAGGGGTTAAAGTGAACACAGATTCTCCTTATTTACTAACATTCACTACTAGGTGCTACTCAGGTGCCAAATCCTCCCCCCTGTCTTCATAGCTACTTGCAGAAATCACATGACACTAGAGGGCGCTGCAGGCTTACAATCATGTCTAT